CATATACATTTTCAATAAGCAAAATAAAAATAGGGTTGGGTTATTAAGTCAAATGGTACGTGGATGTAAAAAGGTTGAGAACCGCTGCTGTATAGTGCAGTGTATTTATTTGTCATTTTTTTTTTTTATTGTAAATAGACAATCCCTTAGTGAGATCTACACGCATCAATAGTTGTTTAAGTAATAACATTATAAAAATAAAAATAAATACGTTGCATACAAGATTACAATATTGAAGTTAAACATCACGAAATATGTGTTCGCATTGACGTTCGATTTTTAACACATTGAATTTATATGTATATATTATTTTCATATGTATCTAAGTGTATTACTTAAACGTTATATATATTATACGATCCGACTTTCAAAAAACTCGTGCTCGCACTGTACGCGAATATTTTACGTAATAGAGTACTACAGGTACTTTTACAGTAACTGTAGAACTATTTTGGCTTGCTAAATATTTATTTTACACAGTTGTTATTATTTATAATTACTTAATGTAATAACTTATCATTTTTTTTTTTTTTTTTTTTTTTTTTTTTATACGATACTACGACAGAGGAATAGGAGAATAAGAAACGTATGGTGGCAGAAGACAACCAAATGAAATCGGTGCGCGAACTCGAAATCGTCGTCGATACACGTAATATCGAAACACACATAATTAGTGTTAGGCGATTAAAAACACTTTACAACGGTGTAATCGTTCTCGAGTGGTATGGGAACAATTCAACGTTCGCAATATGCGCGTGACACGGGATGAAGAAATGTTCAGCGTAGACATCAGTGACATAGACGAGCACTATCTTTACAAGAGTAAAGAAACATTGTAATATCTCGATGGTTCCGATGAACCACAAGAGGTTTCAAGTGTATTGAAAAATAAACTCCGAACGGTTGCGACGGAGTATTGAAAACAATTGTTCGTAGATTTCGATTTCCATTGAAACCGCCGTGCACGTATATGTTATGTAATAATAATAGACATCGAAGTTATGTTTTTAATGTGCTGAAATCAAAGGTAGTATTGTTTCGAGCGAGAACAAGGAGTGAAATAGTTCGGAATGTTTTCGATATTACAATAGGTATCAGCGCATTATTTGGTCGAACAAAAATGTGTTCGTTTTGATTTCTTCGGAAAGTCAATGTTCCGCGCCGAACTATTGCGAACCAAGAGATTTGAAAATTCGGTGGTTCATGAAATCGAAACTATTACGGGTTAAATCCCACGCATCGTTTTCCTCGATCGTAATAGAATCGTGTAAACATGATTTCGCTTCGAGCATTTAAACCCGGAAACGAATACAACGTTGCCAAATCGACACAGCAACATAACGCACATCTTATCGGTTAGCGGTACCGTTCTTTCGGTTTTCATTGCGCTGCTACCGGGGTTTTGAACTAAATCCCACGCGCCGTCCGTTCGCCGCTAAATCGCGAAGCATATACGTTCGTCCTGCTCAGTGGCGTACCTGGGGGGGGGGGCCAAAGGGGCTTTTGCCCCCCCCCCCCCCAAGAAGTTTTTTGATGCCATAATGCAAATTCATTGTCTAGCTTAAATAATGTAAATAATTAATATTTTCACTGATTATAATCGTGTTTGATATCACTGTCAATGTAATATAAAATGTCAATATTCGATCAAATTAGGATTAGGAGTTATGGTTACATATAGTCACTATTTTATAATGTGATTATCACTTATCATTGATATCAAGTGATCAACATGAGGACGTTATCATTACTTATTTTATAACCATAAAAAATTATGAAAATTAATTTATGCCCCCCCCAAAAATGTTACACAGATACGCCACTGGTCCTGCTGCAGCGGATCCATCAGGAGTACTCGTTTTGGTACACGTACGCGACACGGTGACGAGGTGATTTCGGCTTCCCGACAATCGATCCGTCCGATCAATAACGCTGCGTTAAATGTTTCGTACGCAATCGACGCGGAAACGTGTACTAACATGACTAACGTTCCGCGGTACCCTCAGCGAATCCTTTTTTCCGATCTAAACGAATCCCAGTGGCGTAGCAAGTAGACGGCGAACTGTGCCTACGCCGGGGACGCGAATTGCAAAATTGTGCAAAAGTCGTATTTCTATCCCACAATCAAATCGAAATTCGAAATCTGTACACACAATTCATGAAGAAATGATCAATGAATTTTTTACCGGTCATAAAGCGAGAAAAGTAAGTTTTAAAAGTTTAAAATTAACACCATAATAATAATTTATAAACATAAGTTGTATACTCATAAAAAATTAGTAAAATTAAAGGTTAAAAAAAATATCATAACATCAAATTTTAATTGGTTGAAGAGTGTTATTTTCTGAATTTTCCAGGGGTGCTAACGAGTCTTCCTACGCCACTAACTGATCATTGATAAAAACGACGGATCGTTTAAACTTGCAGTTTGACATGGCGGTCTCGTCGTCAGACGTTCAATAAGAAAAAATTTCACAAAAATATTGGCACCAGCAAAAACAGTTCTACGAGTATGATACGAAACCGAGTAACTCAGCGTGCAACCAAAACCGCCATAATGATTCGTTTGAGATTTCGTTTTATTTGTTTTACGGCCAACAGTTATAGTAAACTGGGTTACAAACAGAATAAGATAATAATCTATTGAAAACCGAGTCCCGGCCAAGACTGTTCAGTGCAAAGCAGAGTTATTCAGCCAGTTTAAGAAATCAATGTGTATAACATAATTTATAAATTATATGCACGTTAATACATATTCGTATTATTTATCTACTGTCTAAGGTCTTGACCAATATAAAAAAGATTTGGAGGAAGGTGAAAACATATTATACCCCTCCTTCATAACCATACCACTGCAGTTATCAGTCACATCTGGTACCATTATATTATTGTAGTTTGTTTTTTAATATTCTTTATTGGACACGAATAATTTAAAAAAAAAAAAAATGTTTTTGTAATGTGTTTAAAAAAAAAAAAAACGGTTATGGTTATAATGCATTGGGTGAGGTTCGCAGTGTCTTTTTATTGTACGATATTGGAGTGGATTGTTGTACTGGTCCTGTTGTCATGATTCGAGCCTCGGGGTGCTCGACAGCAGCGAGAAACTGTTTGTAGAATCGTGATTTTCGTGTACACGTGTGTCGCGGATAAAAACAATACGGTTCGATGTCTTTTATCGGAAACGATGAACGTAGCCCCGGGCGAAGAAGAGAAGACGAAAACGATTGACTTGAAGCCGTCGCACGGGCAAAAACAAAAAAAAATAAATAAATAAATAAAACCTTTTGTTCTGATAAATAATAATAGTGTTTTCAGATCTAAGTCTATGTTTCGTAGTAATGTTTCGCTTATTGTTTTAAAATGAGCGTGCATTCATATTTATCAACTTGCAGTACGTTTTACCGTGTAAAGTTGAACAGATATTCAGATTGGAGTTCATAAAAAAATACAAAATACATCGCGAACATATTGCAAAAGAAGCCAACAACTCGTTTTAATGATGTGAAATTCGGGACCGATTTTTCTAGTTCATGTATAAGTTGCGCCATAATGCGATAACGCACTCCTACAGTGGCATACGTGGATTCGTCCGGGGGCACTTCGGTGTGGTCGGTGCAACAATTGACGATAATTTGTAAACGGTTTTAAAATATTGAATTATGTTTCAAATGACACCGAAAAAATCATATTTCCTGGGCATTTAATAACGTCAGATCGTATAATTCCGTATGAATATGACCGTGTTACCGCGTCGTAGTAGCGACTTTGGACGTTAGCCGAGACAGGTTCTCGGCGAAGAAATGATAACACATATGCAGTAGTACTATAATTCGGTGCATTTTTTAAGGAATTTTCACCTGGTGGAAAACCATTTTTTCCTTCAAAATGATCAATGTATAATCGTAGTATAACGATAGTAATTGTCGTTCGCTCCACTTAATTTCGCCCAGTCTTTCCAAATACTATTGGCTAAAATATTTTCTTTCACTGGGTACCATTTGTGTTCCGTGTCGTATTATCGAGGAGGGCTTAACATTTTTCTAAAAAAATAAATGATTTTATAATATTATACAAAAATACATTTAAGGAATTATGTATTAATACAATAATAATATCATATCACAATCATATCATTATATTATAATTATAAATACAAACGAAGTGTTATTTATAATTCAAAATGTAAACGTTTTTTTTTTCCAATTCATCAATTTTTTCAGTTTTATTTATAACATCACTTAACCATAACCTTTTTTTTTTCTTGACGGGTCAATACTCGATAACAACCCCCTTTCACAAATATTCCGTTATTTGTGTCGCCCAGTTAGCTAGTTAAAAAAACGCCATAGTTACAGTTATTGTCGAAAGTTAGTGAAAGTTAATGAACTACAGCTAGAAACTATAGGTCTGTAACACAAGCCAAGAGCAGTAAGACACTGAAATGCAGCACTTAATCGTTTTCCGGAAAAAAGGATTAACCAATAACGGAAAAATCATGTTGCTATTATTAAGTGATATTGTTGTTGCATTTTACGAATACATACGTATTACATAACAAAATACATAATACATAACACTTCAGATGCTCATTCGTATTCAAAATATTATTATGCGTAACTATTCGTATTTTATGAATAATTGTTTCCGTGACAGTATTATTAAAATCACGTCCACTATGTTGTATGTGTTGACATATTCGTTCATTGAAAAAGAGTGAATTCGATTTGTTTTATCGTAATTCCTCTTAGGTTTCACTTTAAATAGTCGAACAGTATCGAACCTGATAATTTTTAAAATTTTATCAGGTTTGTAATTAAATATAGTGTTTGTAGATATTGAAATAACAATAATTATGACTGACAATGTACATACTTCACACGAAAGGCATCGATGTTGATTTTAAGTATTAGTGTATGTTATTTTAGAATTTCGTTTACTTATCATTTTTTCAATTATTAATGTTAATTTTGTATAGTATAAATATTGGACACTACTGTCGCAGAAACGTTATTTTTACAACGTATTCATAGAGGTACATTATATGTCTCTCGAATAATTAACGCGAAGTTCTACACATTTGCTGCAGTGATTTACACTCAATTTACGTGTTTGAATGTTTTAAACACATATTCTTGGTAAGTGTATAATTATTAGTGCTTCGATATTATAATTATACTTACACAGATGGCTGACTGGAGGAACTTCATTGACTGTATACTACTTGCGTCCCCCAATTAAGTATATTTTTTAGGTAGTAAATTCAACAAGTAACTTGCGTCCCGTCTTGGGGACCCAACTCGACTTATTCTTAACTTATTCTTTTTACCTGTTATAATAGTCATGACCGAGATGCGTCAATAAATATTATATGTTACAATAATAATGGATGTGTAAATTGTGTTTATGGTATAATATCTGTGACTATCGAAAAAATTAATATTATCAGCTATTATAGTGTTTCAGTGTGATAAAATTAAGTACCTTGACAATGTTCGGTTGTTGCCAAATAATTTCCTAGCCGTATTTATAAAACTGAATGCTTTGAAAAAACTTTAAATATAATTAATTACTTGTAATATTTATTTTATGCTATGTTTATAACTTATTCGTGTTGGGACCCAACTTGGCTGTCTCAAAAGGTATTCTTGGACGCAAATAGGCTATGGTCTTTTTTTGAACCTTTTTTGGTGGGATGCAAATTACCCACTGATAATAATTTCGGACGCAAATAGTATGCACCGACTTTATTTTCTTATTCGAATCATATTGTTGGTTTTGATTTGGGACGTTTTGTGTACGTCCTTAAATTTGACATCAATAGTTAAACTTACAGTAATTTCTTTTGTAATTATCGCACTACTGTTAGTAGTATTAGTTTGAGCAATAATATAGTTTCTTAATAGTATTGTAGCCTTTAGGTTTTGCAATAATCTGAATTAAATATCAATGGGCATAAGTTCTTGAATTATTGAATTTAATAAATTGTTCAGAAAAACAAATATTTACAAAGCTATAATTTTCACAGTTTCAGCGTAGTGAAATATCATAATAATAAATTTCAAGTAAAGCGCTATTTTTTGAGAGTTAAGCGGAACCTTGGAACTTTGTAAGAAAATTTAATTTTATGTTTTAGTTTTTCTTAATGAAAACATTCACGATTACATTTTAATCAGCGTTAAATCAATTATTGTTTCTTTAAAATCATTTTACAATTTGGTAGGCCAGCATAAGTTTTAAGCTAAGTGCTATAGTTGAGTTTATGAAAAAATTACCGGCGCTAATTCGTTCTGATAAATACTAGCAATTTGTGCTAGATTATAACGGTTCTAGAAGAAATATACCCAAATCAAAATTGATATTAAATTCTAATATTACAGTTTATATAAAATACACCTGCTGATTTTAAAAATATGAATTTATATTGTACACAACAAGCTTTGAATGCAGCTAACTGGATGTAAAAAGTAACTCATTATTATTCTAAGTTAATTAGTATTGTATTATTAATGGCACTGACAGAAAAAGGAAACATTTCGCCTAAAACTGAAAACGTTATTTTCTCTGCGAAACAGTCACGAGCCATGTCTAATTATTATAATACGATAATCGTATTGTCAATGAAATATGTATGAGGTCTCGTAACTGTTAAGCGGTTTGGCGTTCGTAATAGTGTAGAGTGTACAAATTGATATTCGTTATTTCAAGATTTTCGATCCACGACCGAACGTGACGTTTTAGATCGGTGGTAGATATACACGCTCGCGGCACTATGATGAAACTAGGCCTGCTAATGGTGTTGGTCGCATCCGTGTCCTTGGCGTTTGGCGAAGGCGAAGAAGTGATTTTCCCAGGAACAAAGCCGAACGACGAATGGTGGTCGAACGCAATGATATACCAGGTTTATCCGAGATCGTTCAAAGACAGCGATGGCGACGGGATCGGCGATTTAAAAGGTATGCAACGCCCGTACGGGATCGTACGTATTATGCGGGTTCATTCTGTTACAATTTCTTATATGTTTTTTCCCGCATGGTTTATTTTTACTCGTGCAAGAACAAATGTGAATGTTGATAATACGCATGCAAGTTCTCGCATGCGCAAACTTGCATGCAGTCCGACATATCGGACAGAATTCAAATGCAATTAGGTAATTGTATGCCTGTTTATTCCCGAACACGAATAGTGAACCACGTGATCAATGTGATTGTGTTTTATGAATTTTATTGATTTTTTTAATAATTTAGTTTTTTTAACACTGAAATGGCTTCCAAACTATGGTATAGTTTGAACGCAGAAAATGTATTGAAATCAAATACTTTGTATCGTCATTGTGAAGTACTATGGAACGTAAAACTGGACCAATATAAAAGTAGCTTCTTTTTTAAGATTTCTTTACGAAGCATATCGTAAACAATAAGTACTCCTTTTTCTATTGAATCCATTTAACAGTAAAAAAACAGCACTTCTACTCGCGATCAGATCACTTTTGAAACTAAACAATATTTAAATACGTACAAGACTAAAAATGTACAAGCATGTATGTGAACACAAGCACTTGCGTATTACTATGCGTATTCTTGCATGATATATATTGCAAGCAAGTCTACAATGCAAGAAATCGCAATAATGTGAACCCGGTATTAAAATGATAACCGTTGTGTGGTCTGTAACATCCTGTTCGTTTAGGCATCACTCAACAACTGGATTATTTCGTCGACCTCGGTGTCGATGTGGTGTGGATAAATCCGATTTTCAAATCGCCCATGGACAACATGGGCTTCGACGTGGAAAACCATACGGTGATAGACCCAATGTTCGGGACCATGGAAGATTTCGAGGAGTTGGTTGCCGAGGTAAAAAAACGAGGTATTTGCATTTTAATTAACAGAACACCTAATTCGTAAGCAGTGCGCTGCGGACAATCGGGTTCGAATCACGTAATGATGTGCGAAATCGCGGGTTCTTCTTCCAGACCTGAAACTGATAATCGATTTTGTGCCAAACCGTTCTAGTTACAAGTGCGAATGGTTTTCGAAATCGATAAAGAGAGAAGGAAAATATGGAGATTATTATATTTGGCACGATGCTCTGAATCAAGACCAAGCGGACAATGAAACGTTCACACCAACACCTCCTAATAACTGGGTACGTACTTGCACTGCGCGTATAAATTATGAATTGTGATAATTTTATAATAAAGAGTTTAGCCTTTTAAATGCCTACCCCAAACAGATCAGCTAAACCATTGCGTTATGCTAAATTCCATAAAATTAAATATCTCGTAGAAATCAATTTAATGATAGAATCCATTTCTCACTTTTTGGACATATCCGCTGAAAAGATATGCCTATTTGATTAACCAAACCAGTACATTTTGTTGGCCGGCTGATGCTGCAGAGTGCCTTAAAAGTTAATCGTCACGTAACTGTCTATTATTTATGTATTCATTTACTAGTATTAATCATTAAACTATTTTAAATTTTTGTGTTGTTTTTTATTATTTTTATAATCTCTGTTTTATTTGGCATAAATTGTAATAGTTATAGTAAAACACGATACAGTTGGCCCGTTGTGGTAATAATACTTTTACGTCAAACGAAAACGTTATAAATAAGAATACACGAGTCCGAGTATTAGTTATACATTTTTACACATCAATTAGGTCAACATAATTCAACGATAATCGCAATATTTGCGCAGCAATAGATCTCGAGCCGATCGTCCGAATAACGAACAACTTATTTTTAACGTATTTTCGCTAACCATTGCAGTTAAGCGTTTTTGGAGGGTCCGCGTGGTCGTGGAACGCCGAACGAAAGCAATTCTACTTACACCAGTACACCGACAGAGAGCCAGATTTAAATCATAGAAATCCCGAAGTGAACAAGGAATTTTTGGTGAGTGCAACTCGAAACGAAAATGTTTATTCCTAACCTGTCTAGCGCTATTTGTTTCTATTTCAAGAACATAATGAAGTTTTGGATGGACAAAGGCGTAGACGGTTTCCGGTTCAGTTCGTTAGGCAGACTGTTCGTAAACGAAACTTTCCCAGACGAGCCGAAGAGGTCTGGCCATGACGATTGGCCTATTTATTTGACATTGAATCATATATACTCCGTTGATCAACCCGAAGTCATCGACAGGATTATCGAATGGCGAAAATTCATGGACGATTATTCGAAAAAAAATAACCTACGACCAAAGTAAAATAATTTTAAATCTAATTGATCGGTTTCTATGTTAAACTTCGCCATAATTTTTAAGCCATATCGTGAAGATAAAAAATAAAGTTAACATGGTGTGCGCGTATATATTTTAGAATATTTTTATATTAATATTACTTATTTTTTTACACAAGGTGATTCGTGAATTATTTTTTTTGATGTGTCAGATATTATGTTTAGTTGTTCAATATATTGTATCGTTCTTGTAGGCTTTTTGCCGCGGAAGCTCAGTACCATATTTGTGTCTATTCTTTACGTTTTTATTACGGATATGCTAATAATCCTGGAGCTCAAGTGCCATTTAATTACCATTTGATGATTCAAGTACGCAGAACTGATTTAGCTTTTTCGGTGGAGAGAGCTATAAAGTTTTGGTTTGAAGTCGTTTCTGCGAACAACACACCGAGCTGGGTGGTGAGGTTCTTTTTATTTTCTGATATTACAATTTATTCGTTCGTACCGTGCATTCGAAAATGCTACCGCGTGAATCGTTGAAATCATACTTTTGAGTTTAGGTAAATAATAGTTTGACAAATTGTAATAATTATCATGAACGAAGAATGTTTATAATGAAATATCAAAACAGAAATTCGTATCAGTGTATAGCCATAATTAGGGTATGGGCTTTAAAAAACTCCTTAAAAAATTATGATTTCATGCTCTCTGAACAGAACTTTTTTTTTTTTAAATGCACAAAAAAAGTGCTCTTACGAGTATAATTATTTTTAATATTGGAAAAATTAAATTTATTCTTCTACTTCTCATTCGCCTTTCTTCCAACCATTTGGGTCGGCCATCCTTATCCTAATCATCCATTCGTCTCGATTTTCTACATCTCCTACGCACACACCATATTATTACACTCATAATATTTTCAATCATGTCCAACCATCTCTTTTTTGGTCTTTCTCTATCCCCATCAACATTCATTTTCATAACTACTCTTGCTGCTTCTGTTTCTTTTCCCCTCATCCATGCTCAAACCTTCCCAGTCTATTTTCTCTCATCTTGTCCTGTATCGACGCTACACCAATACTAACTCTCACATATTCGTTCCTTATTCTATTTTATCTTGTCACTTCACTCATCCATCTAAACATTCTCATTTGCGCAACATTCATAATCTGTTTTATTCTCCAGACAACCGTCCAACTAATCATATAATATAGTTGGTCTTACTGTACTCCTGTACAATTTACCTTTCAGCCTCTCTGGAATTATCTTATTCTTATTTATCTTAATTATTATATTACTATACAAATTCTTATTCTTATTAATTAATCATTTTTTCCTGTCTTCTATTTTCCCTGAAAACTATTTCCAAAAAATGAATATACATTCAGATACATTCGTTATAATTTTACCTTGTGTTTCATATGGATTCAATATAAATTTCATCGAAAATGATTTAAAAACATTTAAATGCTCTAAAAATATCAAAAATTAAAAAAAAATACAAAATAAAAGATACATTAATTTCTTGGTATATAAAATTAACTTTATACTTAAAATCAATATGTTCAGACATTTAGAAAAAAATGCAAATTGTATTCAAATCCGTTATCTAATCATAAACAATATACAGATATCGCGATATTTTTTGCTTTCCAAAAAAATGTATCTTCTTAATTTTTTTTCTTTCTTTTTTATCATTTTAAATTTTAGATGGAAAATCAAGACATGGATAGAATATCTTCGATATATGGTCCTGAAGCGGTACAAGTATTTACCGCGCTTAAATTAGCGCTTCCTGGGGTTGACATCACGTATTATGGGAGTGAAATCGGTATGGAGAATACTTATGTAAGGCCGGATCAAATTAAAGATTCGTATAATTCGAGTGGAAAGAGAAGTATAAAAAGCAGAGACTTTGCTAGAAGTCCTATGCAATGGAATGATAAGCCTAACGCAGGTTTGTAAAAACAATAACAGTTATAAATATTATGTTCTTATGCTGTTACAATGCAAGAAAAAATCATTTTATATTATTAATATTATTATTAACATTATTTATGTTCGTTTTTAATTTAAATCGTCAAAGAGATAAGTTACAAGTTACTATAAATTTTAATAGTTCTGACTTATTTGAACGATTGCAGTAGATCATTAATACATACCATAATATGTGAATGAATTTACGTATTATTAAACATAGTCCTTGTAATGACCAATGCAGTAAAAAAATACAATTATTTCGAAATACTGTTCAATGAAAAAGAATACTAATCTGCAATCATATAAATTTTATTCAATAACCAATGAGAGGAACTATAATATATAATTAAAATAAATAATAATATTTGTAGTTCATACGTGAAATAAACAATTTATACCTAGCCAAACAGTAATACAATACTGCAACATTCTTAAATCCAAATATGATAGTTGAACAATGAAACTTTGTCATAAAATTTTCAAGTATTTCTTTGGAAGATTTTTTTTTTCTCCCTTAGCACAATAACTGCTTATAAAAACGGAATCCGTGTAATTAATAACGATATTCGAATGTGCCAACATACGAACAACAGTACCGATGCAATAATTGCTTTGAAATGTCCGCGAAATGATATTACGTGATTCTATGTGAATATTGTTGGACGTCCGCCGCAGGGTTCACAAAAGCGAAAACACCGTGGCTGCCCGTGAACCCAAACTATTTCAAACTGAACGTCGAAACGCAAAAGCAAATACCGACGAGCAATTACAATTTCTTCAAAAAAATGTCCGGACTGCGGAAGACCGATACAATGAAGTACGGCGATCTCTCGTCGTACAACATCACCGAAACGGTGTACATAATCAAAAGGTAGGCGAACGCGGGCACTGCGTTCTTGGAGATGTGACCTCGACCCGGTGGATCGTGCCGAAGGGTGTTTTTTACCGGTGTTTTAAAAAACGAGTGGCCTTCGCATTTCAAAAGTTTTCAAGAGCGCGAAAACGCTCATCCGGGAAGGTGGCCTACACTTGACACTTGCGTACATTTACCGGTAAATTTCACATCTCCAAGCGTACGTGCGCAACGCGCGTGACATTTCGACGAACGCGTACACTGTGTGATACCATTGCAGGTCTTTGCCCGGACACGAGACGTACCTAGTGGTCATGAACTTCGGCAGCGAAGTCGAGACGGTCGTGTTGTCCAAAGTGGTCGGCGGTCTCCGAGACGAGCTGTACGTATACCTGGGCAGCGAAAACTCGGCTCACAGTGGCGGGTAATTGTTTTTTTTTTTTTATTGGATTTCTCGTACCGTACGAACATATTGGAATATCCGTTATTACGAGAGAAAAAAAACAAAACCTTCTTACACGATTGTTTAACTATATCTTTTTTACGATCGTGTGCGTACGTACGCGTTCGTTTTCTTTTTTTTTTCTTTTTAATTTTCAGAGATATCGTGTCCACAACTTCTGCCTCCGACAGAACGTTGGTTCTCAAGCCGTTATCCGTGGTAGTCTTGACCGATGGCGTGGTCAAAGTGACCAGCAGTGCTGCTAACAGTCACAAGCGCTTCAACTCGTTGGCCATCACGGGTTTGCTAAGCGTTTTGTCATTAACAATGTTTCGCATTGGAAGCAACATTAATTAAAATAGATCATCATCATTATCATTATTTTTATATGAATAACATTATGAAATATGTAAATTTTCAATAATATTAGTGGCAGTCCGCATAACGTTTAACATTTATTTCGATTTTAAATTAACTACCCGAGCCAATAAATAATAAGCACTTCGTTTGAATGAACTTGTCCTTTATTGTGCTTAGCTTGGTCGATAAAAAACGGTGTGTCCGTTAATTTTTCCTGATAATCGTCTACCCGTTTTAGGGGATGATTCTTACACAGGTACGTTATCGTGCGCTCTTAAGCTTAAAGCGCTCAAACGTATACTTAGTAACGACCAACGATTTCAAAAACGGTTTGTCTCAGGAATTGTTCACTGTATTTGCGTGATGTATATAGACCCGTAAATCATATTTACGGCAACATGATTTATCGTCACTTTAAAAGTGACCAAATCGCACGTAAAATAATACGTAGAGCTATTCCAATAATAGGATAATAATAACTCATGTGATAACATATAATAATTGTACGATTTCAATTATTACATATTTACGACGTTATATATATATTACGACGTTTCATAAATACGGTTAAAATTAATTAAACAATTAATTAATTTAACATTGATCAGTGTTGGAAAAAACGAAAAAAGAAAAAATTATTAAACACACGTATTTATAACTTTTGTTTTAAATATTTACCATGAAAAAGTGTGACTTAATTTCCGACATGGTAGCAATGGTGCAATAACCGTGCTGTAAAGAAAGTAAAAAATAAATAGAAGTAAATTTATATATAACTAATTGAATTAAATCGTTTAGGAGTCAAAACACATTAAATATAGAAATAAAAAAATGTAACGGTATTGTACTTATGTTTTAAAAATAATTTTTATTTATCAAATAAACTTAACTGTATGCAAGTTTATTAGATACCGATGATTCAGTAAAGAATAAAATATAACTCTTCAAAATGAACGATATTGTTAGGTATATTGTTAGGTACATAAGTACACAGTTGATTATGTAAAAATGTAATACATTGTAACATATTAAATTATTACACTTGCAATAAATATTGTGTACATTCGTGTAAAAAGTATACGATTAAATTAGTAGATGTGTTCATGAGTACTCGTAAATATGATATTGTTATAACAAAGGGTAAATGCAAATAATTATATCGCACTATGTGTAATAACATTTTTCAATGAACTAGAATATTGGTAAAGTACTCGTTATTCGTTCGTAATTTATTTTATTTTGTATTTACTGACCGGATTATACACAAACAGATAATGCATGTGTAGCATGTATCCGTAAACATTATACTCAGAAATTGTAACTAGATTACAGCAGAGAGTTATACAAACGGTAATGAAGTTTTTTGTTTTTATAATTGTAATTAAATAATCGCATGAACATTTTATCATACTCCATTGTGGTAACGAAAACGTAATAGATTTTATTTTGGCGTGGCTGAGGAAATGATTTAGAATTTCTAGATTCTGTACGAAATTTATTCGAAGGTTTGAATGCCAAATAACGATAAATAACACTGTATTCATGTGATATACGAAAAATAAATATTTGCTGTATAATAATTTACATATTTAAAAACAATAATATTCACGCGACCTTACAAACATCTTTACATGTCTAACTACGTTGAATTAATTCAGTTATAATATAAACAATAATTGTTCGTTCATTATTATGTCTGAAAACCGTCGTAATATACATTTTCGACAACGGTTCGAACGAAACAGCTATTGGTTTCTAAAAACGGGCAATATTACCGGTCCTTAGTCTCACGTTAATATTTACAAATCGTACATAAATATTTAATATATAAGTTCGTATAAATATAATAATCTACAAATATTATAAATAATTTTTAAATTAGTATACTTACATCTATGTATTTTATGCGAAAAAAAATTGAGAGAGTGATAATTACTATACTATATATACTATTATTATATATATAATTATTATAAAAAATATTTCTAATTACAATAGAGATACGTAGTGAGATGTATGTGGGGAAATATTTTTAGCCATTTTTAAATTGCTCAACAAAACGACATGTGTGTGTGTGTGTGTGTGTGTGTACAATAAACAGATGCGAGTGAACTGTGACGATATTAAATTTAATTTGACACCCAACACAATTTTTAATGAAAGGTAAAGACGTTATAATGTAATAGCATGTATAAAATCGTTTTGGATACTCTATTGTTATCCTATTCTATAGGTTAATTTAACCACGCAGTATTGAATATTATTTTATTTTTCAAATGGGTCACGGACAATAACACAAAGATGCTATTGGGGTGATAACGAGTTCCCATTTGGCGTATGTGCACTAAAAATTACTGTTTTCAGCGTACGTGCTCATAAGTTCTATTGTTTCGATCGATTTACCATTGGCGTGTATTGTATTATTTTTATTTTCATCGACCGTTTATCAATGTTGAAACATTCGTCGAATTCCCGATATCCATCGAAAACCGAAAAGGAATCGGGTCCGTCGATTGCCATTACATTATTTGCCGCGTGCTTCGTGCGAGTAAAATTGGTATACGCCGTGTGCCACGCATTAGCCGATGGAAAACATGTGTAAGAAGCATTACATACCGCGTTTAGGGCTGATTCGCTTTCGTTACATTGTCAAAGACAATGTAGTGCGATTTAGGTACCGAGACCGAGAATTCGGCGTTCGATGGCTGCTCAAAACTGTTCTTTCATACTTAACGCACAACACTTTAGTGATAGCGTAACAATGAATTTTTTGATTTCGAACGATTTCCCTATCAGCAAACGTCGACCATTCAAAACACGATGCACAAAATCTCGAGAACAACAAGATAAATCATCAACCAAGGGTATATTTAGACTTCTAAGGGGAAGGCGACTCAATTTTTTTCTTTAATTCAGGCTCAAAATGCACAAGTAAAATCTTTTGGTAATATTTAAACAAGATGAATCCTTAATATTTGTGTGTTTTGTTTTTTTTTATTAATCTAATGCCGGATCCGTGTAGAATCGACTTGCGTAATTATTTTTAACACTTGTCTGTATTTTAAAAGTTACGCTTGTGTCTTACATGATTTTTCACTAAGTATAGAGCCGACAAAAAGCTCAATTTAGTATTCGCAGCCATGCGTAATTTGATTTCGTTATAAAATGAATGAAATTTGAAATGCGCATCTCACATATAATCATTTTCTTAAATACGGATTCAAGGGGGGGGGGTCGCCCCTTCACCCCTCCCTAAAATACGCCCATATCAGCAATACTCGTAGTAAAATTATTTCGATACAGATCGGACGGCGATAGGCGCTCGGTTTTCGTGCAAACAAAATTACAAACGTTCCGAACCGAGACGTTGAAGTAATAATACATATTCGATCCGAACTCGATCGCGCATTCCCATTCAGATCAAGGCCGTCCCGAAGATGAAAATCAAGGGGGGCGGGGTGAATAATAAGAAAAATGCCGACTACAATTTTTTACTCAATGTAAGTAGTATAATTAACTATATGTAGTCATATTTTACTTTTTAACCTGTATATGTATCAGTGTCGCACGTTCTTAAAATTGACAATTTATATATAATATTATTTTATATTGTATAAGTAGTTATATAAATTTTATTCGTGTGTACACTGTATTACGAAATATGTAATATTTGTTTTCCGTAAGTAAAATTAGATCCTTCTAGGCTATAATGAAAAAAATCCGACTGCCGACTGGTTTTTTCGTTGGGGGGGGGAGAGACCCCCCCCCTAAAGATCCCGCTTCGGGACGGCCCTGATTCGGACCCGAGGCGTTTCTTTGTTCCGCAAAGTTTCGGACGTTTTTCCGATACCGTAGGTTAGAGAGAACCGTATTGTTTTCACGTATGCGCACGTTATTCGTGTACGCGCGTCTATTGTGTTGGACATATAAGCGTATTGCGCTCTGCCTCGGAACGACGTTCTACATCGCCCGACAACGGCGTACGCATGCCGGTTTAGGAGTGTCCGAAGGTATTTTCACATCCAACAGCAACAATGGAGGATGTATCGCGTGTATGCGTGCGCGCGCGCTCGAGTGCATGTTTGTACGTATTTATACACATCGGTATATTATATTATTGTTTAATAATAATTATCGCGGAACCCAAATTGTTTGACCCCGTTTCTACGTCTTTATTTTGTTTTTATTTTTTTATTTATTTTTTATTCATCTTTTGTTACATTGTGCGGCGGCGTGCGCGCGCGCGCTCAAGAAGCGCATTGTTTATCACCGAATAAGAGATGATGACGAAGATGATGATGGTTGTGCGTCCGTAGAGTCGGTGGCGGCGTACGCGCGCCTCCGTAAAGGGAGCGCGCGGTGGCGGTGAGGAGGTGAAAAAAAAATTTATAATTAACTCGCGCGCGACCGCGTATCACTCGGCCTTTTGTCTTATCGCGTTTAATTACTTCCCATTGTCGTGACTATTATTGTTGTTAGGCGCTGTTGCTGTTCTCGTGCTCGCCGCCGCCGTCGTCCGGATGGTGCCCGAGCGATCGCGCTCAGGTCCAAGCGCGCAACTAGAGCTCAAACGTTGGGGGTGCTGAAATTGCGGAAAACAAAGTCCAACGGTGTTCCACTGTAACCACTATGGATTGTATAGACCTGAAAGAAAAAACTAAAGTGCAACATTTAAACTCAGGGGTGGCTATTGCGCCCCCCTCATTGTGCCTATGCGTATCCGTACCGAAGATTCGTCCGAACCGTCGGTGGTACACGGTTTCCGTTCGCGCGGACACGACGAACACATACGGCCGAAGACGCGTAACATGAGATCGGCTTTCCGCGGTCCGATGTTCTCATTTTCACTCCGAAATGGCATCTGGTGAGCGACCGCGAGGGTGACGGTATCCACTGCGTTCGTTTCCCGTCTAAAGATCGGCCGCTGGTTGTCCCGGGGAAACGCTCTCGGTCGAATATTGTACGTCGGAAAAGTTATAAGCGCTCGTACGACAGCGTCGTCGACCCGCGTGCCTAATATGCTTTTCTTCTTGACCGCCCGATAACGCGATAAATGTC